TCATAATTGACTCGGTCAATTCTGGTACCCAGCCTCTGTGGCGTAGGATCAGACAAGGGACTTCTACGAATTTAGATAGTTACACTAACATGTATAACATCACTATGCCTTCATCCATGGTCAGTGATGGGGATTTGTATGCAGCGATTCACCATTCACTCTCACTGAATGATAACCACTTCAGTTTGATCAGACTTATTGTCAGAGGTAAGGAAATAAAGACACTGCAGGTATATTGAGAAAATACATGACGAGGATTATTTCAATTTCTATACACTATTGCAATTTTTTTTTTAAAGGGACATTCAGAAACTAGGATTTTCAATCAGTGAACCTTAGGGCTGGTTCATACTTAGCGCAAAAGCGAACGGCTTATATAAACCAAATGATTACAAGCATTGACAGTAAAATGTACCCCAATTGAACTGTTTTCCGCTTTGAAAATGTGCAGTATAACCCCACTATATTTACAAACACATTATTCAGGGATCAACCTTTCCCCCAATAGGTATTATTACTGTGCATTTTAAAAGTCAGAATTAGAAATTCCATCAATAATCTATATTTGTAGCATTTCAAATTTTAAGTTTCCTGTGTTACTTTTTCTCACCAAGACTGTGTTTCGGACAAGTGGGGTCCTCCTGCCTGTGTAGCTATGTGTGACATGTGTTACAATGGAGGAGTGTGTGATGATGAGACAGGAGATTGCGTCTGTCCACCAGGATTCAGTGGACCAAACTGCCTCACTGGTAAGCTCATTGCCTGGTCACAGGTTGATCTGTTTGTTCGTTTGTCATGGTGTGACATGTGCTACAATGGAGGAGTCTGTGATGATGAGACTAGACTTGAATCAAGTCGGACTTACGTTGCTCTTCCTTACCCAGCCATCCCTTCAGCCAGTACGCACTTCACGGTCATCGCTCTCGGCCTGGCAGCTCGCATAACCCTTTTAAGATGCCCGCATTATAGCCGTTATTGTATAACATGTGTTATACGTCACCTGTCAGTAAGTCCAACTTGACGGATACGCCAATTGGACCCCTTGTCAGTGATATAGTTATTCAGAATTACATATAAACGTTATGATCATCTTGCAAAATGTGTATGGAATCCACCAATCAAAGTAGTCAGACTTGTAGACTCATTCATTATAACGCAGGTATGAACAGCGTAAAAACAAATCCAGCAATCTGGTTGGCTGCTACCTTTTTTGGTAGATGAGCACATTTGCTGTGTACAAACAGTTGGCAGATTCGTCAAGTTGGGATTTCTGAACTGAACTCCTTGTAATAAGTGAACACGAGGGCGCAAAGCGAGTAACGGCGCGAAGTCTCGTTCGATGTGTATCCAAAGCAGAAATGAAGACGTCACAGAGATCCCGACTTGAGTCAAGTCTGCTGATGAGACAGGAGATTGCATCTACCCACAAGGATTCACCGGACAAAACTGCCTCACTGGTAAACTGTGTAGTAGGTATTTTGTGTTTCCTTGTAGAATATAATTAGTCTATCTCGACTAATGCTTTCAACAGCTTGTGGTATGCACAGATTTGGTTGGAGTTGTGAGTTCCAATGTGGACCTGGTAACATCATCCAGAGTTGTACAGGAAGCCAGTTTGGTCTACCAGACCCCTACGGGAACAGCTGCATCTCAGGATATCATGGCAGAGACTGTAATGTGGGTATGGACTGGCATACAAAAGTAGAGTCACAAGGGGAACCATATTATTGTAATGATTTGCTCAGTCAGGTGTACCAAAGTTGTGTAAATTTTTTTGTTCTCATTGTATGCAAATAATGCATTCAAACATTAATTTTTTAAACTGGTAAATGTTGCCTTGTGACCATAATTTTGAATCTTTGAAATGATCAGAGGCTGATAATACTAGGTCCTATTTTATAAGTGTTATGAATTAAAATTTTCTAACTCTTTGTTGGTTTTGTCTTATGTGCATATAGTTTGCTCCAGTGGAATGTTTGGGGCTGGATGTACTCAGACCTGTCACTGTCAGTCAGGAATGTGTGATGCATACACAGGCGTGTGTACTACTCAATGTTCATCAGGAATTTGTTCTTCTTCCGCTTGTACACAAGGCTGGTTGGGCAGTAATTGCCAAAGTAAGTGTGAAACTTTTTCCATGTTGTTTCTCTTCCTAGGAGTTCATTGTAAGATTTCGTATGATTTCATGATTGGTTTATATCAGCCAGGGATATTTACCTTACATTGGCCACTTGTCTGGTTAAATTTTGTTTCGTTTAGTTTCCACTGCCTTCACAAATAAACACGTGAAAACACACTTCAGAGAGTTGATTGGGGTTGACAAGTTCAGGGAGATTTGTCCAGAACTTGTCTCGAGACAAATGCAGAACTAATGCTGGCAAAGTAAGTGGTTCCATTCAGCCACTTGTCCCCAACCAGTTGTACCAGATGACGGTTCATTTACACTGAGACAACTGACTTCAATCTGACCCCACTGAAGCTTGACATACAACATACCTGTAGGCCTAACCAAACTGCACAGTATGACATACAGACAAGGACAGATGTTTAATGCCATGTTATCCTCAACATCACCAAGGTTGCATTGGCCACATGCCCACAATAATTATCTTCTGATTAATCATAATCTAGGGGTAATAAATAGGTATCACCTTGCGTTATTATCAATGAATATGTTCAGATATCATAGGTGCATGCTTTTCAGTGAGCATGCGTCTATTGACTTGGAGATCATATTGTTCTAATATCCTCAGACAGAGCTAATTGGTGTCTGTAGAGCAATTGTTACTGGACTTCATTGATTACAAGATCCATGTTGATTTCAATTTTTGCTACCCTTCTACTTGCCTTTCCTTTATTTGCTCAGATTTTTAAAAGCACCATTAATAGAATCTGCTCCGAGCAGCAACAAAAAGGGCTTGTTTTTAAAGGAAATTGACGGTCCTTTGGTACACATTCACCGCGTAGGCAAGTCTATGTGCGTTTGCGTGCAGCATGCCGAGTATGTGCAACGAATTTCGTTTGAAATGTATGGTCTTCACGTGCACACCAAACGTGTGGAAGACCCCGGTTGGAATATTTAGGACAATCTGTCTTTCTTTCGCCGTCGAGGGTGCACTTCAGCTCAGGGCAGATAACATACAGTACCATTCTTTCCTGTGTCCTACATATAGTTCCAGATGAATGTCCAGCTGGTTATTATGGAGAACAGTGCCTCAGCAAATGTAACTGTTTCAACGCGGCTGCCTGCGACAGGATCAGTGGTTACTGTAGTGGTGGATGTGCATCAGGATTTACCTGTGTTACGAGTAAGGATTCTTTCTAGCAATTCCAAAATTTTGGAAGTAACTCTTTTAATGTATTAAACATAAACGAGATAGGGAAAGGGGGAGTAGAATCTGCCCCACCTTGGTATATTCTCCTGTGTTGTCCCACTGTATTTTATGCAGCAGTTACACTTCAGGAGTTTCTTAGGATTTCTTGTAATCACTAAATTTGACACTACTTTTGTGGAAATCAGTGGAAGGCTGTCATGTATTCATCCATGTATGGTTTCTGTGATTTTCAAAGCACTTAAAGTGCATTGCCCTTGCGATTGTAGTGATCAAAAGTGTCCCGAGGCTCTGTTTTCCTGGCTGATTGTAACATTAGTAGGAAGCTATTCTACAGATCCATGTACATGATATGGTTTCTTTGATTTTCGCAGCATTTAAAGTGCATCGCTCTTATAGCGCTCAAAAGTGTCCCGAGGCTATGATTTCCTGACTGAATCCTCAGTGGGAATTGATCTCATGTTCAAAGTGCTTGGGAACTGTGGTTTGACTCATGTAGGCCTACATATAGCTTTGGAAATGTGGTATTGCCCATATCTGTCAAGCCTTGTGTTGCCTAGGGACCTAGTCCATGTCTGAATGGAGGTTCATGCAGTATTCCGGGTTCCACATTCAGCTGCAGTTGCCCATCTCCCTATGTAGGAATTAGATGTGAATCTGGACTGGGTAAGTATACCACATCAAGTGATGACAATCCATTAGTAGTGGTTTTTGTCTTTCTCTACTGTAGCAAGATAAACCACGTTCAATTACCAGATTTCTTCTGTCCATCACCCTGCAGTGCCGTGTACTCCCAATCCTTGCATGAATGGAGGTACTTGCCGTGCTCAGGGTTTCATGTTCAGCTGCACTTGCTTGTCTGGCTAAGTGGAAGTACCTGTGAAATTTTTAGTATGTCCAGTTTGCATATAGTATGAAGTAGTGTAACCTGCACGGCCTTCATCCACAATGAAATTGTGTGCTCTCTATTTTCTCTCTGCAAATTTTACTTAACTACACTCGTATATAAAGCAGTCAGTAATTAAAGGAATAAGTATGTGCTTGGCCTGCCTTAAATGCACATTTAAGACCGGCTCAGGAGAATGGACGCGACTAATACCCGAGCCGCAGGCGGAGGGCATTATCAGCATTCAGTCTCCTGAGCCGATCTCGCAGTTAAAGACTTGCCAAGCACATATTTATTCCCATTGCATTCATAAAAACCATTTTAGTCAGAGAGTCAAAAGAAGTGATTTCCAGCAATTTTGCTCTAAAATTTTACTTTCATTTTCCTGAACACCCACGTCCATTTTAAGGATCATTCGTTGTGCAAATTGTTCAATTGGCACACATGTTGCAAGCTTCGTGCACACAGGCTCTTGACCAATCAGAATTGATTAAACTGTCTTGTATCCAGGTCCCCGCACGTGATTTATGCAGCAGGCATTACCACTTCTCAGCGGGCATTATCAAGTGCTAACACATGGTCAATTTCCACGTTGTTTAATAGGGAGACTGTCTGAGGTATATTTATGAATATTTCTTAACACCTCTCCAACAGATTCTGCTTGACTTAAGTAATAACTATAAATTAAGTTGATCTAAACACCTAAAAAAGGTACGTCTATTTGAAAAAGAAATTTGTAGATATTTTACCAGCATTTTTCCAGGTCTTTCAACCCAGCTTTGTAGCACGCTACTTCAGCATAAGCTAGTATGTATTTGCACGCAGTTGGTCGTGCATAAAGTTCTATCTTTGGTATCATTGCATTACTTTATTTGCTATTGGTATAACTCTGTTTTAGCCATGAAAGGAAAGTTAATGCCATGTGACAGGCTCCCACCTGATCAAAATACAGAGCCTGTGGATGATTGTAATGTAATATTGTCATACTGTATAGGACAAGTTTATAACAAGTACCGGTAATAACATTTCTGGGTTTTTTCCATTCCATATATTTCACCTTTAACCATTTAATACGATATACGACTTTCTCGAAAATAAGAGCACCTTACATACAATAACTTGATTATATATGCCATACTTAAACACAACCCATTAGCTCCCAAACGGAAGAGAATTCATCAGTATCCAGTATTTGGTCACCATTGTCTATAATGTATTTATACATGTAGCATGCAGATATGTGACATTCTCTGATGCATCTCTTTTTTGTCAAACAAATGCAAATGAGCACTGCATGCAGCGCCTTGCCAAGGGGCATAATTATTGGGTAAAAGTTCCCTTTCTTTTTGTAGAAGCTACATATGGAAGTTAGTCCCCCATTAATCTACTATAGACTGATCCAATTTGAGGCCATAACTGCACTTACACATACATTCTAGAACTTGATGCAGGTGTGTGTTTGTCAAATCAAGACACCCTGTTGATCAAAGACGTACGTAACAACAATGTAACTCCAGTATTGTGAATCGTAGCCTCTAATTCTGGTTGCTGAATTACACTATAACTTCATATTCAGTCTTTCCTATTAAATTTACTTGACTTCTGCCAGTTCAGCTTTGTTGCAGACTCTGTGAGTTCCTTTGAAAGATTCAGTCATCCAATTTTGATATTAAACACTAAAACATTTGTCCCCTATCAGATCCCTGTTATTCCAATCCTTGCTTAAATGGAGGTGCTTGCCGCGCTCAGGGTTCCATGTTCAGCTGCATCTGCCAGCCTGGTTACAGTGGAATTACCTGTGAAATTCTAAGTATGTTGTCTCTGCATATGTATCATTACGTGCCCATATTGTCTTCATCCACTGTAGAATTTTTATGAACTTTATACAGTGAGAATTTCAGCTTGAGGTATCATAGTAGCATTTTGCTCTCGGTACTAGTTTCATTCTTTATAAAAACGCCCAGGTATACAGGGTTGCGTTTGTCTCCTACTAGCTGTGAATTGACTCATTCCCCGTTAAGAATGATTGACTGCTCACGGTCAGCTTTGTTGAGCAATCTGACTTAGACCTTCAATGTCAAAAGAAAATCAGTCAACCTAAATTCTAACAATTAACTCGTATGTATCGTCAGGTCCATGTTCTTCTAGTCCTTGTCAGCATGGAGGTACATGCAGTGTGCAGGGCTCCACATTCAGCTGTAACTGCCAATATCCCTACTCTGGAAGTACATGTGAAATTTTCAGTATGTTCACTTTATTCATTTTATCATGCATTATTTTTAGTCACTGGAGAATTTTTTCAGAACTTGTAGTTTGTGATCATTTGTAGTTGAAGTAAAACCTTCTTCTGAAAATCCTGTGATAGCCTTTCATGTTCAGTAAACTGATCACTCAGGGATGTGTCCTCATACAATAGCCATAAATTTTTGAGACCACGATGTACATGGTCGTTCTCTTTCTGGAAGGGCCTGTGCATCAAAAAGAAAATCTGTAAGCTTGAATTCTTACACTTCACCGTTGTCTATCAACAGTTCCATGTTCTACCAGTCCTTGTCAGCATGGAGGGACATGCAGTGCTCAGGGATCCACGTTCAGCTGCACCTGCCCACCTGACTACACTGGAAATAACTGTGAAGCTTTTAGTATGTTAATTTTCTGTACATGTAAATACATGTATCACATTGTGCAATGTTGAACATGGTCATCATCTGCTGTAAAAACATCTCATTCAACTTGTAGTGTAGTGCAGTCAGTTTAAATTTTAAGTGTCCTCAATTGCCTTTTGGTTTATTGTTCTTTTAACTTATTTAACTTATTATATTTAACTTATTTGTTCTTAATAGTCTTGTTCATTAATCACCTACTATATTTAAATACCAAACTAGTTTCATTATGAAACAGATGTCAGTGATTGAAATGGCAAGGGCTGCAACAGCATTTAACGTATAGATTTTTAAAAAGGCAGTGTGGACGTATGCCGATTACATGTGATTTAAGTCTTCTGCTTTCAACCTACCCCGAACAGTCACTAAATATGCAAATTACTTTTTGTCCGATTCAGTTCGCTAAAACTTCTGATCAACCATAGTGCACCCTCTTGTCCCATGATGCCCAGCGGAATGGCCGCCATGTTCATCCCTCTTTTCTTTAGCGTGATGCTAAACGGATGTGTCTTTTTGACAACTTCGAGGTCATCGGGTTTCCGTTTCGCTCCACACCTTTGTGATATTCTGATCAAACTGTATTGTAAAAAATGTCTGTATTTCTGAGTTAATGTGTATATTTTCTTGTTTTGGTGTTATAATTTCTCTTCTCATGTGTGTGCGTTTTATAGATTGTTGAATCTATGCTATTACTACCAAGCGATAGGCCTACATAGGGTCAACGGGGCAACCCTGGGATTGTTCGGGGTTCCGCGAGGCGGTTCGAGCAATCCAATACTGCGGTCCCCCTCTTTCCTTGGTATATTTGTGGGGTCAACTGGGTGACCCCAGCTTTGTAAGGGTTTGCGAGGAAGTGCAAGCGTTCCGAATTCTGCGACCTCGCATTCCTTTATAGACCGACAGGAGTCGGTCTGCAGGGGATCAGGTGGCATCCTGCTAAACTTGTGATCCCGCGGTTAATCCCTGCTGGCAATACCATCTTTGGTTCAGTTCAGGGTTAGGCCACGCTTCAAGGGCCTGAGCTACAGTGCGTGCGATATCCGTATGCTCAGTTACCCAACGTAACACCAAAGCATTGCAGTCAGCGATAGTGCAGAGTTGCGCTGCACTCGGGGTTGAAATTTCCCCCACTTGCTGGGTCTAGGTGCAACACTTCCGCGTCCCAGATCCTAAGCATCCCGAATGGATGATGCAGGTCGACAACAAATTGCCGTGGGCAACACTTGACATTGGCATGGCTCACAAGTCTACGCACCAGAGTGGCCCCACGTCACATCACCCTGGTGCCATTGTCTTCAGACGCCCTTAACCGGGGCACCCGGCCGTGACAACGACACTGACGCTCCTGGGGACAACACAATGCTGCTCCCCGGTGCGGTACCCGCAAAGACAATACAGGGCCATGCGGGCTCACCAACACCGGCACCCGGGACAACACCGGCCTCCTGCGCCGTCAGGGGTTTCGACCCCCTTATGTCACCCCGTCTTCCGGCTACCTTCTGGGCCTTTCTGGGAAGACTGTTTCTACCTCAGCAGTTCAACAGCCCTCTCTTGCTTTATCTTTACTGCAGTCTGGGCAGGCCTCCGATGCCCCGGCACACCAGGCGTCGACCGCTGGCTCTACAACCAGTTCTCCCGTACGCAAGAAATGTAAACATTCTTTGTCTTCGTCTGCGGGGTCTAAGCGTAAGAAGTCTTACTCTTCACAAAGGAGTATGCTTCGGCCGACATCATGTCAGCGGTCCGCATGCTCTCGGAGAAGCTCTCTTCTATAGCCAGCCGTCTAGAGCCCAATCCTGCTCCTGCAGCGACGGTCCCAGATTTGGACCATTTGGAAGCGCAACGTGATCCGCATCTGGATCCGCACCCGGATCTTCCCAGATGGTTAGACCGTGTCCAACAATACTGCTCTTAGACGTCTACTCCAGGAGTGTTTCTTGAATGTCCCTCAAATAAGAGACTCATTCTTTCATGGGACTTTTCAGCTGTTCTCCAACTGCTTGCTGGTCCCCCTTTGAGCCTCTCAGCAATGCATCATTGATCAACTTTTCGGTGAAACTGGCATTCCTACTGGCAGTTACTACCTCACGGCGCAGCAGTGAACTGAAGGCGTTGTCCATCACAGATGGCCACATCTAATGGGAAACCCATTTTGTTCGTCTCATCCCAATGCTAGGGTTTCTTACCAAGAACCAGTCAGTTTCCTTCAATCCTCCTGACATTTTTGTACCAGACATTACCAAACACACTGGGACTCCCGACGACTTACCGCGGTGCCCAGTGCGGACCCTTAAATGGTACTTAGCCAAAACCACAAAACTCAGAGGTACAACTTCGCAGCTTTTCATAAAACCTCACCAAGCTGCGACCAGACACACTATAGCTAGATAGGCAGTTTCGGCTATCAAGTTTGCCAACTCAGATTTGCTGAACTCTGTGGACAATAAAACACTACTCCTCATCAGAGCTCATAATATCCGAGCAGTTTCCACATCATGGGCCTACTTCAGGGGCATACCGATGGAGGAAATATGAAAGGCAGCATGCTGGAAAACCCCATCTACTTTCACCACATGCTGCATCACCGATGTTCTACAAAAGGACTCTGCGCATGGCAGAGCGGTCCTAACATCGACAACATCAATGCAGAAGGGTTCCTCATCAAAGCGGCCCAGCACTGGAACGACATAACAACAGTCCGCAATAAAGTTCGGACAATTTCATACTCCTCTGGCACTCTCTTTATGTAGTGCGTCCTCGCCACACCCCCCTCCAAGGGCTCGGTGCTACTCTGCAAATTTAGCGATTGTTTAGGGTAGGTTGAAAGCAGAAGAGGTCTACTATTGAATACCTACCCCAACAGACAGCTCGATCCCTCCCATCCTTCCCCACTTTTCGCTCGGACGGTTTTAATACCAGAAAAGGACGATAAACATGGTGGCCATTCCGCTATGCATCATGGGACTAGAGGTCACACTGTGGTTGATCAAGAAGTTTTAGCGAATTGAATCAGACGCAAAGGAATTTGGATATTTAGCGACCGTTTTGGGTAGGTATTCAATATCAGACCTCACCCACATTTCTGTGGGGGAGGCTTTCCTGCCAGATTTAGTCAAAACCATCTTTGATCAAAAACAGTAGATGCAAATGTATTCAATCCAGAATGTATCAGAATTAATTAAATGAAAAAGTAGTCATTCAAGTGTGTTTTGTTTTAGTTTTTCAGATCGCTTGTTCCACCGGGATGACCGTGGTTGGGACTCCAGGCATGACAATCTCAGTTGAAATACCACAGCCATTTGTTTCTTCAGGTTTCAGTAATGTACACTTTACCTACATGGGTCCACAAGGCATCATTGCAACACCAACTAATTATCAAGTACCTGTTCCTTTAACTGGATCAACTTCAGTAAATATTGGAGTCATGGCGAGGGGACTTTTCAACATCATACAACGATCCTGTCAGATTCCCGTCACAGTAACTGGTAAGCAGTCTACTGCTGTGTATTGATTGTTTCCTTTTGTAACACTTAGCTGTTCGAAAGTTTTTTACAAGAATAAAAAATTGGAAGAAATTCCACTTCATGGCTTTCAATTTAAGTTGACATACATGTGTATCGATCAAGTGAGAACAAAGTTGTTAACCCATATGAGGATGTTGTAAATCATACTTTAGATTGCTTATGGGTATAACTATCTCTTATCTGATCTTTTGAAATGATATTTTCTCATGAAATAGTCTTCCAGTGGTGGTAAAGTGTCTTTTTTGTTTGTCATAGGTTTTCAGATGATGTGCACTCCAAATATCACTGTGCTTGGCCATCCTGGTTCAGATGTTTCAGTGGCTATACCAGAACCTATGGTGTCTGGAGGAGTTGAAGGTGTAACTTTCGCCTACGTGGTTGAATCCGCTTCAATCCCTACCCCAAGTAGCTATGAAGTGGCTGTTCCTGATAATGGGTCAACAACAGTAATGGTCAATGTGATCCCTCTAGTATCTTTCAGCTCTGGAATGTCTTGCAACATTTCTGTCATAATCAAAGGTTATTTTTATGATAGTTTGTAATCATATTATTGTACCGTGCATAATTAATGGATGATAAATTGCTATTTTTGATACCTGCTGTGGCATAAAAGCTACAAACTGGTAGTGGCACTTATTTCCAATAGACGTGTGATTAGCACCTGCTGAAACTATACTTGATTTAGATATGGCATCTGTGCTCTTCAGAAATTCAGACAGTACAACCCTAATGTGCTGGATTGTGTAAATGCTGCTTATGTGACACCTCTGATCTCTCTTGCAGGTTTGCCATATCTAAGCCAGACACCATCTGTAACATTGGAATCACGATTAGCTACTCTCACATGGCAGGCATGGAACACAAGCTCAGGGGACAGAGGAGCAGGGCCAGTGACTGCATACAAAGTATATTACTCTCTGACATCTCCAATATCCTGGATTGCTGGTGGTACCATTTCGGTGACAGACCCATTTCAGAGCACGTACAGCTTCACAGTCCAACCATTGGAACCAAGCACTGAGTACATGTTTAGCGTGGCTGCAGTGGGAGATGGAACAGGAGAAGGGTCAAGGAGTCCGTCATTTTCTGGACTGACAATACCACTTCCTTCGACATCCACTGATAGCAGTTTACCAATAGACTCCACTATGACTGAAGGTAAATTCGTATTTGTAAACATCTTGTCATGTCAATCTAAACATTATACAAAGAAATACCTCGTTAGTTGATGTTACTTTGCGTATCTGTTGAGAGAGAGTGTTCGTTTTGGAGAGAGGATACCAGCTAGACATTTTCGAAACGTCATTTGGAAGAAGATTGTTTTATTAAATGATTGGAGTAGCCTTCAATTAAATAGATCATTAAAATACGTAAACGTCAGTAACATCGCCTTGAAAATAATGGTCTCATAAATAGGACGCAAAAACTGTTGTAAGTTATTTTCACGTCTGTGTTTGTCTTCTTTTCATTCTAGTCCGAACTGTTTTACATTCAACTCCAGCTAGTTCTTCAAACACGGCGGCAATCGCAGCAGTCGTTGTGGTGGTCCTTGTCATGGCTACAGTGGCCGTTGGATTAATTATTTTTTATCTCCATCGTCATCGACGAAACAGAAAAGGAGAATCCAGTGCACAATCGGCGGGAGAGCGAGAAATGGTAATATAGCTACTCCATACAATGGGACGATTCCATGAACATGCTCAAGTGTTACATTTGCATTAAAACGCAGTTTTAAAAATACTTTCATGTTAAATGATGTCCCTTTCAGAAATAGAAAAGAAAAAACAATTAAAATTATCACAGTTTGAGTAAGTATAATACCAAGGTCTTCGGTTGGAGGGCAGCTCTGTTCCTTTTGATGAAGACTGATTTTTTTAAAACTTCTTTTTGCAAAAGAACCCCTAAGGCCAGCGGTTGTACTATTTTTAAAGTGGAGGCACTTCCAATCAGTGAAATGGCTGTGTGCTTCCCTTGTTAAGTTGTATTATTTTTCCCCGCCCAAATCAGATTCGTCACTGCACGATCACAGTGATTTTACACTGTAACAGGTGCAGTTGGTAAGAAATCTTGATGTCCCAATGTTCTTGGAAGTCTTCCTTTGAAGTTAACGTCAGCTACAATAGATGACCAATGCGCATTGGGGATCTGAACGTTGCATTGTACATGAATTTGATGCATTCATTCTCAATAAGCCTTGAAAAAAACCTATACATTGTACTCTTCTTGTGTGGGTTTGGAAAGAAGAGTTTCCAGTGTGTCCTTTCTGTGCTGTTGCACGCATTTGTTTCATTGTGTATGCTTTATACGTAGAGCGCTTATCAAAATAAGATTGCTTCAGACATTGAAACAATTTCGTCCGCCTATGAGAAGGTCGATCACGTCCGGCCATCATCATCATCCTACGAAATTGTTGGCCTTGGCTCTTCATCATCATCAACCTATGAAGACGTGAGCCTACCATCCTGGGCGCATCAGTGGGGCATACCGTGGCAGAATGTTATCGTGGGCGAGAAGGTTCTGGACAGTGGAAACTTTGGTGAAGTGCTTGATGGTGTCGTAATTATAGAAGGAGAGTTTTCGAAAGCGGCAATAAAGACACTGAGAAGTGAGATTTTAGGGGTGATCAGATTCGAGTTTATACCTTTTCATGATCTCTATGTTTAGCAAACAAGCATCGTAGGCCTACAGTGCGGAGTTATTGAAAAAAAAATGCGTGCCCGTAAATAAATTGTACTATAAATTACATTAATGACATAGCAATTTGAATGACCTGTCGTCGGTGCTTTCCACACAGCAAATGCATCACCACACGATCGGCAACTATTCATGGAGGAATTTCGAACTTTGACGAAACTTGGAAGTCATCCCAATATTGTAAATCTGCTTGGTGCCTGTCAACACGAAGGTACACGCAGTCAGTTTTGATACTTTGGAATCTATATTCTATCTACTTACATTTAACACGTGTTTGGTTTGTCGTTGCTTTAATTTATTCATGCACCTCGCCCGCCATATCAACGAAAAATACTTCCTCGACTTAATTCGGCAGTATATATTTAGACATTGCGCGCAGTAGAAACTGATTGAACTGGAAACTGAGAAAAAAGATCACAGGTCTTATATGTAATGTGTGTCACTAAAACATGTTTTATGTGTTTTAGATAATTTGTACGTGACCTTGGAGTACCTACCAAATGGTGATCTGCGCTCCTACCTGAGAAATGCTCGAACCCAAGGAGACAGTGGCCAGACTTCTCTGTCCTCTGAGAAGCTGATACAGTTTGCGTTGGATGTTGCTGAAGGAATGCAACATCTGGCTGCACTGGGGGTATTAAGAACCGAATATCTATGGTTCAGTATTTGTTAAATAATATTACATTTAAAATGACTTCGAGTAGAAAAATTGCAAATGCATTCTTTATCACCATGAAGAAATGCTGCATTCGAGCAGTAAATGACGCGCAAACCTGGTATCAAATAAAAACATTGACTTTGCGCAACAAGGATTTTGCAACAGCAAAGCAGAAACTGTAGAAGTAAATGCAAGTTGTATTTACAGGTGATTCATCGAGATTTGGCGGCAAGAAATATCCTCCTTAGCGACGATCTGGTTGCTAAGGTTTCAGATTTTGGTTTATCCCGAGGAGAAGATATCTATGTTCAGACATCCAAGGTATGATCCCAGTTGATGAATTGTTGCTATGCATTCATGTATAAGAGTCTCACATCCTAACCGTAGTTTCTAATAGCTGTGATCAACGTGATTGCTCAAGGACCATTTCCTTTTTTAATGAAACATTCGGCAATAACATCTTCGTACACCAGGCCAGGCAATCCCGATTCAGAAGGGGGCCTGAAGGGCAACTGATTTGGACTGAAAGTTTTGGTGCATGACTGATTTAGTTTTAGTTTAATACTTCAGGTTTGTTTCATCATATCACCGATTTTTTTCCAGACTCGTGTTCCCACTCGCTGGCTTTCTCTGGAATCGTTGCTGAGGCAGGTGTATACGTCAAAGAGTGACGTGTAAGTGCATGTACTATATAAGGGAATAGACATGAAATAAAATTATGCCCACTTTCGTTGCGAAACACTTGTTCACAACGAATGAATGTATTTGTCATAAGTTTGTAAGACTGATTGAATTTTTCCTTCTGTCATCAGGTGGTCCTTTGGAATTCTTCTCTGGGAAATAGCTACTCTGGGTATGAAGTTGCAAAAACACTGATATTGAGTTTTTAACAATGACATTTGTTTTAATTTCCACATTTGTTTGACAAGATAGTCCTTTTCTTCGCTTTCAAATCCAAATTACTCGATATGTTTCAAGACAACAATGTTTTTGAATCATGTTAAAGTATTTGAGGTAATCATGTTCTTAGGTGCCACTCCTTACGAAGACACCAAATCAAAGGATCTACCTTCAAGATTGGAGAATGGATACCGTATGCTAAAACCAAGCAATTGTGATGATGAAATGTAAGGCTTGCTTATTATTTATATCAAGACAACAAAATCCCCTAGCCTGTTGAAAACAGCACTTTGACAAATACATTTAAACGTGATTTAACTAATCCTCACGACGTTTTAAGTGTAACCTGCACTTAGCCATACAATTATCGTACTGTTCCTGAATAATTCGTTGTAAATTAGCAGTTAAAAACACTCGTGGTTTAGTCTCTGCATAAAATACATTGGAAAATAATTGTGTGTGACGACAAAATCAAGAATAAATTAGAGCATACTGTTCCAAACTGAGCCACCGGGGGGTCACGCTTGTGAAGAATTTTTTAACCTTCCTAATGAGGTAGGCCTACAAATCAACATCACTATCAGCATTAGAACAGATAAATACTATTGTGCGATACTTTCCTTTATCACAGTTACAGTTTGATGACGCAGTGTTGGCAGGAGGACCCGAAGGAGAGACCAGCATTCAAGAAATTGACTTCGATTCTCAAAACAATGGCCGAGAACCAGATTGAGAAAGTGAGTGTTTTAAGTGTCTTCCGAAGGAAAAATGGCATTTTTTGGTGGCTCCTAAAATTGGAAGGCTGTACATGTGCCCTTCCATTGTGTCCTTCCATTGTGTCCGGCTTATCTCAGATAAGGGTAATTCCAAATTTAGCTAGCGTTTTTGCAGCAGTTCTTTTCACAACTAGCATATCATGGTACACCCAGTAGGCCTACGTTCTTACTGCGTAGGTGACAGTTGTGTTATCTCAGTTACCACAGGTTACTACAGTTTTTTTTAAGTCGGTCCCATTTTGTACCATTTTCCTGGTTGCAGACCTACATGCGCCTGCTGCCTAAATCAGAGGACTACATGCACTTAATATTTCGCCCAGCACTGGATGATAATTGAGTTAATTCCTAAAGTCGAATGATGCATAGTTAACGACCAATCCTATTACTTCATGGACAGGGATGTAAGAAGACACGTTTCCTCAACATTTGGATTTTCTCTCCTAGTTTTAAAGTATTAATGCTGTTTATTGTAAGTATGCTTTTCGTTTGTTTGTGACATCGGAATGCGTTTAAACCAGGCACTGTTTATCGTCTTGTAACATGAACGATCAAATCATGGTTCAAATCAAACAGGCTTGTAAGAGAGTTAAATTGTGCTATAATAAATACATGTTGATTAGAGACCAAATAAATTTCGCGGTACGGAAAATAAGGGTTAGGACAGGATAACAAATAAAATGTAATCCTGCGTCCCCAATTTACCGTCAATTTTGAACAGTGACAGGATCTGTGGTTAAACGTTACTTTTAATTCTTCCCGAATTCAATATTGAAACATTGTTTTCGCGGGGTAAGGTTTGTAAGAGTTTTTTCACACTGACATTGTGAACGTAAACTTTTTCCTCAATTCATAAGTCAATGTACATTTAATGACTGTCTATTTTCTAGTGAAGGAAGATACAGACAGGGAACTGTTTGAAAAGTCTGTTCACATTGACACCTTTATTATATATGACAAGCTGAAAAATCTACACATCTCATGACAAGCAACAAAACGAATTCTGCTGAACGAACAGCCAAAGCTGATGTAATAAGTTTGCCTTCAAGGGCACATTGTCACGCGTGTTGTAACCCTCATTATGTTGCTGTACAAACTCAGACAAAAATGGTTTAAGGAGAGTTAAAATTCAGCCACTCAGTTGTTTTAATTTCTGCTGCTGTATTTCTTTCTTTGATGTAATTTGTCTTTGTTTCAGTAGTGAAAACGGTAATGTACTACTATACCGTTGCACATGAATGTATTTGTGTCATTTGATTTACAACGCTTGTTCAAACTTAAGGCTATATATGGTGCGTGCATGTCAACGATGCGTGCATGGGTTACGGTATTTATACCTTTTATTTTATATCCAAAAACTTGATAAATTTTAGAGGATGTCGCATAATTTTATTTTCTTTAACTGTTTGATCTATTCAGTGAAGCCGAATTTAATTATTTCACGTGTCACATACAATCAATTGTATATATTTGCATGTTTCTCGTGGTACAACGATAAAGGTGTATATCATTTAAATTATCATTCACAAAATGCAGGTTTTTTATTATTTTAGATTCAGGTGTATTTTTATCGCCATCGTATTGTAAGTATACTAACTTCTGTTTCGCTGAAATTAGCATTTGAATAGACCAACTTATATCGAAAATGTCATAATGCTTTGATTCGAGTTTTAATGTTGAAGCATTGGTATTTCCATATCTTCCTTATTATTATGAGTATGAAGTGTTTTGTTGGGGTTATACGCACATGTATTAACGTAACAAATTTGACGAAGCACACTTATGTACTTAAATGAGTCACTAGCAATGCAAAGAGCGATTTATGGTTGCGTCCGTCGTTTTTCCAAAAATGTCTGTCACTTGATAAGCCTAGCAGTAACACGTTTATTTGAATTACTAAAGATATTGTTTAACAATACAAATATGGAACTGACATTTTGAAAACGTTCACACTGAGGGCTTCATTAAGATGAAATAGATTCTGCTCATAACGTATAGGAACAATCTGAAATAATTTTCATGCATTTAAAAAAAAAGATATAACAGAACAAAACAAAACGGCTTGAGTAACAGCCCTTTTTTAACAACATCTTTTGAAATTCTGAGACAGAGTTAATATAATTGTGTAAGAGGGCGCTATAATTTCAGCAGCCTCTCTTTTCATGTTTTCAGCTGTTTGTTGTTTCTTTTCAGCAATGAAAGATTTGTATCATAATTTCCTGCTATTGTTTGTCCAACCTACACAGATTTGTAACCTTGATACGTCAACAATGCTTGTATCGGTTGTGTTTCTTATTTAATTACAAGCCAACATTTGACAGACTGTTTGACGGACTGTTACATACTTTTATTCCTATTTGAACTGTTGCTATACAGGGTCAGAGAATGAAAACCTAGTCAAGTGTTACAAACGGTTAAACCTAGAAAATGTAAAACTGAGTTTCCTGTGGTATACTAAGGCAATGTCAAAAATGCACAACGGCCAACTTGTCATTTATAAAAGGCTTTTACATTTTTTTAGAAAGGTAAGTGGGTACTCACTCTTGGCTTGCTTAAAGTTGCGTTTGAATAAAAGAGACATTCTCACAATTTTGCTTGTTCCAACACCTCGTGTTATTTATTTACTGGCTACTTGAATTTAAAAGTTAAAAAAAAATTTGTTTTAAGTTCTTTCAGAAACTATGGCATTATGCAACAAGGAGGGATTGGGTGGCTTTTTTTTGGGGGGGGGGGGTAATGTAATCAAAATGCACGGAACGAACCAACTTTTCCCTGCATGTTAAGAAATATCGAAGTGGTTCATTTTTCACAATACTGCAGGTGAGAGTAGTGTGTATCGATCATCGATACACACTTGCAGATTGACAATCTGAGAGTCCGGCACATGTCGGTCCGCGTGAGTATCGGTTAAGCGTTGCTTTTGGTTCCTTTTTAAGGATCTAATCCCAAAAGCATTGTTTACTTCGTGAATCTGAACACCGGCCATGATGAAATTTCTACAGGTAAATTGCAAAAAAAATTGTATGGCGCACTGAGCTTCAATAAAGCGTTTCTAAAGTGAGCCTTAATGTTTGATGCCATTGTTTAAGGTTCAGTAGTAAGTCTGGGTCCTCGTTTTTGGCCCTACGCCCACTGCATTTGTGGCTATTGGCATAGTCTAGTGGGTAATTCACAAAATGTGTTATGAATATGCAAGAGTAGTGCTGTTTTTCGGCGGTGTGGCGAAAAGGCAAAAGATTGTTAAAGGGATGTCTGTGGGATTACTGGGGTTTATGACAAGAGAGCGGTTCAATCACTTTTGGGCATGACTGGCAAGCGCGAGCCAAAGTTTAGACCGGTCAGGCACCTGCCTGCAGTCTATCACTGCAAAGGGTGCATTTCACCAGATCGTTGTATTTCTACGCGCGAACTCATTAATATTTTGTGACCCTGTGGGGTTTTACAATAAGATAACCTCTTCCCGAAAGTCAACAGGCGGCGCTATTTCGGTCTGATTTTTCTCTGTTTTCTATGGGCGCGTATTTGGTGTAGTATATCATGTGCGAGCATAGCTCGGCGGTCCAGTCACGCATCAGTAAACACGAATCCAACTTTACATTTGAACTTAGTGGGCTTGCCCTAATGAAATCGTTCTTGTCAAATCATTTGCTCACTGGAATGTTGAAAACGAAAGATGACCATGATAGAGAAGACTGTAAAGTTGGTTTCTCCGTACTAAGTGGTCTCCTTTATTAGGCTTTAAAGCGTTGGAATATCTCTTATCTTTAAAAATAATCGAAAGCGGAAGTAAAATGTTTTGCCCCAGCGCTGGTGACGTATGTGTGTGACAAGTAGCTTCCGGGTTTTGTGGACGTCTCGCCATGGAGGATTTTGTTCGCTGTCTTCTGATTATCCTTTCTTTAATTTTGAATGTCACAGGCAAGCAAAACCAGACTTAAGACTTAATTTGTGGGTAAGATTTCCATTTACGGACATCACAAATCTTTCCTTGCCGTGGTTTAATAGCAAGCAAAAAGTAATAACTTGTCCTTAAAAGTCAAATTTGGAACGGAAAGTATTGAAGCCTTTATTAAAAACACTTGTAATTTTCTGGCTAGTCACATAGGTTTGTGCAGAGGATGTAAAGTGATGTCCGTGTTTGGAACTCATTGGAACCAATTTTCGTGTGGCTTTTACAGATCCAAGCCTGGTCCAAAACTTGTAAATAACACCAAATGATGCTGGAAACAAAATGAAATGACTGATGTCAATATAATAAAAGTTCTACTTTTAGTAGGCGATCGTACTCAAAATATCGACTTAAAAGTCACAATTTTGCACAGGTTTGGTGGCAGTGGGTGGAAAAGATTTACTTTTGCAAAACACATGTATATATACTTGTCTGGGACAGAGTGAGGACTTTTGTTTGATTCCCCAAACAGGTGATATGGTCCATCTAACAATGGTCACACCCACACCTTATGGGGCGGGGTCTTCAGCAAGCATCAGCTGCTTCCGTAGCAGCCCTGATGCTGGAGTTGCCTTGAGCTTTGGTAGACCATTCCAAATAGGTCTCCCAGGATCTACAGTACAAACCTCAACCACCCTCCCAGATGGCAGTACACAATCAGTGAATGGACAAACAGTCACACAGGATCTGACCTCCAGTAATGATGCCACCGGATTGTTTTATTGTGAAGGTTCAAACAGAGGCCTAACAACCAGAGTGTACAGCATCGTCCACAGTATTCGCAGTAAGTACATCCATAAATGCTTCTATAGTTTGAAGCCCTGCACACGTACTTTAAAATAAGAGTTAATACAAGATCCTTCTTGAAACAAGGGGAGAAAAATGTAGGTCCTACATACCTATATCCATTGTTTTCCATTCCTGATTAATGCATAAGGTCGCTGTTCCTCAGAAGAATTCTTCCCCCATTCAGTTTGAAAGGAAATCACTGTCCTTGTTTTCACTTTTGTCTATTCTTGGGAGACATAAACATATGCAGTTTTTGCAGTGAAATCTTCAATAACTTTTCAATTTTCCTTAGGGAAATTTGAACCAACTGATGGGCAGGTGACAAGAACAATAATGACAGGAGATGATGTGACTCTGTCAGTCGTCAAAGTCAACTCTGATAGCTCTCCTTTTTGGCGGCGTACAAGAAACGGAATTATTGGTTTGAATCTAACTAATCAATATCAGCTTGATTTCGTCATGTCTTCTGCTGACGCAGTCCATGGGGACTTGTATACTGTCATTGGCATTGGTGTTACTCTCATGGACAATCATTTCAGCATGATTAGACTCATCGTCAGAGGTACTTTAAGTATACATTATTTCATGTGTGTGCCTTCCACCATTACTTTTACATTCAGAATTGAAGTGCAATGGGAAGAGCACAGCAGAGCAAGGGGGGGGGCTTTGCTAAATGCACTTTGTTTTGTGTTTTAGAAAGGAAAGGACATGAAGGTAGTTGAAATTAGATGCGTTGAGCTTTTATCGAAGCCTGTGTTATGTTA